TGGCCTAACCATAATATTTTTGTGCCGTTCATTGATATGGTGCAAAGAGTCTTAACTTTGATAAAGAATATCTCTTTGGATTTGAGACTTTAGTCTTCGCAACTTCAGGGATCTTATCTATGCACAATCAGCTTGTAACACTCCAAAGAGAAAGGAAAACTTGAAATCGCATCATATGACCCCTTTAATATACAGTTTTATCCTGATTAAAGCTTTAATACAGTACGGCAACTGCACGTGCGTCCATGTTTAACACTTCTCATAGCTATGTGAAAATAAGTGTATAACTGGAACAGTTCATTGTTGGAGATGAGCTGAAAGAGAGGGAGAGAGAGAGAGAGAGAGAGAGATGCAGGGGACGTGAGGAACAGTATTAAGAACTGTTGCTTTAGAACATTGATTTTGAAACTTGTGAATCCATTAGAATCATTAAAGACAGAATCGTGGCAGCGCAGCATGGCCTCGCCCCCTTTGCTGCCTTTTCCCGAGGGCGGGGTTTATCTGGGTTTGTGAAATTTCTGTTAAATTAGTGAAATTTCTCTCACACATTCTTCTCAAAGCTGAGTCCCTTCTGAGGAATTGAAAATTGATTGTGCCTTGGGAATTGTAACACTTATCACATCACTGAAGGATCCACACCTAAGCAGTTGATATTTATGTATTGAAAGCTTTTCTAATTACATTCAAATATTAAGACAATGTTATATTTCAGGCATTCAACAACCATTAGATGACCCTCTACAGGTACACTGAAAGCCTATCCTACAAGCACGTGCTAACTGATGCCCAGTATAGTGACAAGTTTGGAATATGTGAATATATTCCGATATATTCTTACACGAATTATTGTACAGAAAAGGACCAGATTTTAAAGATCAAGCAGGTAAAATCTCCTTCATGATGCAGTAAAGTCCAATGTGCTGATTTTCTGTTTTTCTAAGATTCATTGATATTAAGGATTGGGAAGATATAGTTGATAGTGTGTAGAGAGAAAAAAAAAAGATAACTTGGGTAGTGCATGGTGTTTAGGATCAGTACTGTTGTAAGATAAAACTCAGAACAGAAAAATCATCCAGACTTCTTGACAAATGGGACAGTCTCAAGTCTAAAATTATCACAGGAGGCAAAGATACTTACTGTGACCTTGCATCTTTAGGGGTCGAAATAAATTTTTTACTTGGTAGACCTGGTGCTCCCAACTTCAAGAAGTTAGGAGCACCAACAAAAATTTAGGAGCACCCACTGAATATTAAGGAGCATCACAACTGCCAATTGAGCAGAAGGGCTGGCAACATCCATCCGTCTGTATCTGGCCTCTTTTCTTTGCGTCCGTCTGTCTCTGGCCTCTGTTAACGGCCATTTACAGACTTCGTAATATTTCCACACAAATGAGATTTTGGAAAATGATTTCAATGCAGTTTGTACAAGTCCAGAACAGAGATCGGCTGAAATAAAACAAAAACCGGTCGGTTCCGAGTTAGCTCCCTGTCACACGACAACGGAGTGCAGCGAAAGGGAGTGATTGACGGCAAATATAACCAATCTAAAATATGCATTAAAGTTAAGAATGTAAAGATGAAGCTTAATTGGTTATGTAACGTTGGATAGATTGGTGGAGCGGTTACTGTATTGGCTCACAGCAGGCACATACTGTGTAGTAATTCGTGAACGTTTAGCAAAGAAATGAAGACTGGTCGCACCACAACAATTATGTGCACTCGCACAAATGCTCCCAAATATATTTTGGGGTCGCACAGATTACATTTCAGGAGCATATGCGACCAAGACGGTCGCAATTTCGAGCCGTGATCATACCAGCCTGCTTACATCTCCCCAGGGCAACACAATGAACCTGAAAGGCAAGACAGGGAAATTTTCGTTACTTGGTGTTAAAATATTTTACTGTTACTTGGAATGTGCTATTTGCTATTGATCTATGTGCCTTTTAATGCATTGTTAATCTCCTGTGCTGTTCACCTGGTATACAGTACTTATGACTAGAGGAGTGAGAAATCAAATGGCCTACTCGGATGACACAGTCATCACTGATTATACAAACTCGAAAAGTCAGGAAATAAAGATGGTGCAAGAATATAAATATATAGGAACCACCATTGATCAAAGACTCACTTTCAAACCAAATAATGAGAAGATTTTGCCAATAGTGTCTCTATTTCCTTCAAAAACTTTGTAAGATTTATCAATCAGTTCCGTTAACAAATTGGCTTGGTTTAGAGGAATGAGAAACATTAACATAAGCATTCTCCACAAGATCATAAGAGTGAGCACCAAAATCACTGGTCCAGTCAATTTACAATTACTGAGTGGTTACTAAAGGAACTTAAATAGCACAGGACACTATGCGCATCTTGCATTTCTGATACAATCTGCTAGGATGTAGATCACTGACCCTCAAAACCAAAAGATCTGCCTGTCTTGATACGTCACCATTTAAAAAAATATCCAATAGTGTTTTGTTTATGTCACATTTGTCACCAAGTCTAATAAATTCCCCCTTTAGATGTAATATGACTGTTACTACAGAAAAAAAACAGTGATTTTTATTAAAGGGGTCATATGATGCGATTTCAAGTTTTCCTTTCTCTTTGGAGTGTTACAAGCTGTTCGTGAATAGATAAGATCCCTAAAGTTGCAAAGACTAAAGTCTCAAACCCAAAGAGATATTCTTTATAAAAGTTAAGACTGGTCCACGCCCTCCTAAAATGCCTTGTTTAAACACGCCCCCACATGTCTACGTCATGATGTGGGAAGATTTGCATAATGCCGCCCAAATGTTCACGCAAAGAAAGAAGGTGTAACTTTATTGTTGCTGCCACCGCCGCCGCCGTGTCGTGAAGACACTGTGTGTTTCATTGCGAAAGCGAAAATACTTTGTTTGGCCTTCCAAAAGAGGACACGACTAGAAATCAGTGTTTAAGTTGTATTTACAACACTGTTCCAGAACACTTCAACCCAAATATTCAGATGTGTGCAACGCATTTTACGG